AAATTATTAAAGTTACCACGAAAGAAAAGAAAATGTCAAACTAAAGAAAGGAAATTTAGGGATAGAACTTGGGTTACCTCCCAAGAAGCACTTCTTTTATATCTTTAGTTGGACGTGATGTGGTTTTAATGTGGTTCTCCAAGGGTAATGTCTTCCACATCTCGATTTTCCTCTCCATAGTAATGCTTGAGGCGTTGTCCATTTACCTGAAAAGTAGATCCATCCTTGTTCACTAACTCCATTGCACCATACGGGAGTACTTTACGAATTACAAATGGTCCCGACCAATGGGAATTAAGCTTGCCCGGAAAGATTTTCAATCGAGAGTTGAATAGAAGAACTCGTTCTCCTGCCTTGAATTCCCTCCTCATGATTCTCTTGTCATGCCACATTTTTGTCCGCTCCTTATATATTTTCTCATTTTCATATGCATCATTTCGGAATTCCTCTAATTCATTAAGCTGCAACAAGCGTTGTGGACCGGCCGATTTCATGTCCAAGTTCAACTTTTTCACAACCCAATAAGCTTTATGTTCCAATTCCACCAGTTGGTGACAAGCTTTCCCAAATACCAACCGGTAAGGTGACATTCCAATTGGTGTTTTGAAGGCGGTTTGGTATGCCCAAAGAGCGTCATCTAGTTTGAGAGACCAGCCCTTTCGGTTGCTATTTATTGTCTTTTCCAAAATCTGTTTAATCTCTCTGTTAGATACTTCTACTTGCCCATTTGATTGTGGGTGATAACTAAGTGCCAATTGTGCTTGACGTCATATTTGGCTAAAAGGGAGTTGAATAGCTTGTTACAGAAATGTGTACCTTCATCACTTACAATTGCCCTAGGCGTGCCAAACCGAGTGAAGATATTTTTCTATAGAAACCTCAAAACCACCTTTACATCATTTGTTGGTGTGGCAATCGCTTCAACCCATTTAGATACATAGTCTACTACAAGGAGAATGTATACCTGACCAAAAGAAGGTGGAAACAGACCCATGAAGTCTATACCCCACACATCAAATAACTCCACCTCAAGCATATTAGTTAATGGCAGCTCATGATGCCGTGAAATG